TCTCATAGTTTAGAAAAAAAAAAAAAAAATGACGCGATCTAAATTCGTACCCATATATTATTATTATTACTATGACGTTGTGTATATAATATTATATATTCCCGACACGTAAGTATATAGGTATATCATATTATACATATACGACCTACACGGTCGCAGCTATGCGTATATAGTCTATTATACATTGAATAGTTATTGAATTATACCYATTATAATATCATATTATTATATAATACGGGCTCTGTTCTAGGCAGACTGCAGGCCGAGCCCCAGAATGAAAATTATAGACTTAGGTATATATATATACATCAATAATGATCATATCCGAAACCACTTGGCAGACCTCCTGTACGGCGGCGTAAAATGAATTCGAGTTTTGGGCGTTTTAGCGGTGTATACGTTGTACACACACGCGTGTAGGTTTTATAAAAAAATCTGTTAACGATCCTCCGAGGCGGTCTCTCTATATATCTGTCTCTTTCACTGGACGCAGATGGTTCCTTCCAGTTCGATTAGTGGAAATACGTACTTCGTTTCGTGTAAGACATAAAACTGTGATTTATATATTATACGAATAGTATAGACAAAGTGCCTAGCCGTACATAATACCCATCGTACGCCATAATATATATTATAGGAGGCACCTACATGTATAATAGTAATAATAATGATGATAATAATATTATATTATTTTTATATTATAATATTATCGTCGTTTGCGCGTCTCCCGCGTTCGCGGACTGCGGCCGGCGACGCGGGCGGCGGCGTCTAACATAATATATTTTATGCTAAACAGCGTGTCTGCGTGTGTTTCGAATACTTTCGATGACGGTATAGGTATCTATATAATAATAATATTATAATATTATAATACGTACGCGGGTGTGCCGTCGACCGATAAGATCGCAGTAAAGCCGGGCTTACGGAATTTCGTTTTGTTGTTTTTTAAAATGCAAATCCGACGCGTCGATCGCGGGAAATTCGCTGCTGATGGTGCATTATTCATCTTGATCCACATAAACCCACCGTCGACGCGTGCGGTTATTAAATGCATTTGCAACCCGTTTTATCGTATTATGATAAWATTATTATATTAAAATGACATACGTCTATATTATTATTATGTATCCGTGGTTTTGACACGACTCCGCGTCACACTCGGCGCACGCTTAGGATTAAAATCGAAGAAAAGGATTTAAATTCCAAAACTGCAGCAGGCACACGACAGTACCATAAGTTCGGGTGACCGAGAAGAAATGATACACGCAACCATTGTTGGATAGTAACTTATTCTTTTTTRTTAATTAAATTATTATTACCCTTCAAATTTGTTATAAATTCATTCTTAAGTTATTGTTTTTTGTGTTTGGTCAAACAACATTACTATAGGTACCTACCTAATTATTTTCAAAAATATCATTAGTGCTGAATCATAATGCCATCATAAAATGTTTATTTAAAGAAMAATAATATTGTTTAACACAWTTTATTCTTTATAATATTGTGAATATATTGTTAGTGTTAGAAAATCTCGATATTGTTATTACAATATATATATTATCAATTAGGTCTTAAAATATACTTAAAAAAAGTAACAAAAAATACGTATAAATTGCTTTTACAAAGTAATTTCGTTAAAATAACTTACAACTTAAGTATAGTTATTTCAAAACTGCCACACATGCAATGTCAGTTCATATAATCTGTTTAGATATTTATAAGAACATAATATCATAATTACTATGATACGTTTCCTATTTATGATAAAACAGTTTCGTATAGGCCGTTAAATGCATTATCCCGATTGCAGTTAATACTTTACGATATGCTAATGGTTATATTCACGTAATATACATATACACTCAATTCTGAATGGTTTTATATAATAAATAATATAAACAACAAGCTCTGATGAAGATTTTAAAAACAATATAATATAATAGCTACTGTGATCCATGTGCTATATATACGTATAGGTTACTTATATACGGCTCTACATGTCTATGTGTTTTATTTTTTACCGTTGTAATAACWACACAATATGCTTAGCCCAATAGCCCAGTGGCCTTTATTTATTACAACTACCAMATTATTATTATTATTGTTATTATTATTGTTGTTACCACTAGCACCACTCGACTAGTATAAATAAGCCCGACTTTTCAATAATGATTAATAATGAAAATATTTATTTGTGTTACAAAAGATGGRTTCATAGAATATTCAGTTTGTCTAAATGTATTATGTCAATATAATATTATTTAAAAAAATAATGTTAACCTCCGGCTCAGTTTTCCGTTACTGTTGAACTGCATAGATACCGGTTTGAACATTTCAAATAGATTTTTACTTCACTATCGAACACTAAAACAACCGTACCACGATCATTCATTATTTGTGATTTCCCATATTACTCTATTTATTTTACTCATAGTATAATTATTATTTTTAAAACTCCTTGGTAGCCTACTACAACTTTTTTTTTTACTTATTATTTAAATCTCTTTTAAAGCATTATGGTTTTAATCACGCAGTACAAACAATTTCATATAAAATGTACATTAAATATTCATAATATTTATCGCATTCAGCATAAATAATTACAAAGAGATAATTCTGAAAAAATATAATTTTCACTTATAATATCGAAGCTCTATAATTTTAACAAGCTGTCTGTTTTTCTTGTGTCGCTTGCCAATATTATATTCTAACTCGTGACTATTAAGAAGATAAAACGGTTTATTCAAGCCATTAAGGACAACTGAATAGGCAACTTAAATAACATATTTATGTTGTGCAGAAAAACAGGTCCAAGATGTATAAATAATCATTATTATTATAGAGTTATAGACGTTTCGCATTCGATAAATAAATCCCAACATGAACAGACAAGAGTTATGGTAATTAAAAATGATTATAAATTCGCAATAACTCCGCTGATTTATTTACACAATAACCCTTACCTATACATTTCAGTTTTTAACGATAAATTCGCGTTTAATATATATTTTTTTTTATTATTATACCTACTCACGTGAATAAACAAAAATTGATTTGATATATATGTAAATTTKATGATATGCAATTCAATTTCGTCTTAAATAACAGACGTCATTCCGTTTTCTCACCTTGCAAATTAGATACTATATAGGTATAATGGTAAAATAAAATACAATATTATACTGTACAATTTTTTATAAAAGCAATGAATTTAACGTCTATTAATAATTGATAGTAATTTATAATAGCAAATAATATACACTTCTGAGTGTATTTTTAACAATATCTCGTCAGTACAACGAACTGAACAGTTAGCGTTCGTGCACAAAATATTTCTAGTAAACGGTACATTTTTTATAACAATATAGGTACTATTATTGTAAACCAATCGTCACACAATTGTTTACACATTCCGGCGTATACCTACTCTGCCATATTAGGTTCCATCCGTGGTTTACTTAGGTAGATATCTACGCCCCGAGAAAATACGCTCAAAGGTACCACTTATTGTGTTATATGACGAATTTTTTTCGAGCTTCTGACTTGAGTGTGCTTACGTGCACGTAAATAGCAAAAGTGTGCAAGCCACGCGAGAACAGTATACGATGAGGCAGGTGAGATTTAACATCAGAGTGGTTGAGTCAAAACAACCGATCATCTGCGTGGTAAATTTACAATATATACTATATACTATATATGATATATACATAAACATAGTTCCTTTTTAAATGGAAACCAGTTCCTACTACGCTATACGGTGATATGGTTTTTTTGGCTATTACTTTTATTTATTTATATGAATTTTAGCTCACATTACAACCACATTTGAATTTATATCCGAGATGATGATAAAATAAATAAATAAATAAAAACATAAAGAATTATCGAAAACCACTTACGTGTGAGATTTCAAGTGGCCAAGGTTCAACGTCCCTAAGCCGTTTAAGAATGTGGCAAAATGTCAACAGGATTTTCACAAATAAGCATGTGTATAATTTATATTATATACCTGGTCGGTAACAACACTCTACCCAAGAAAAATACAAAATATCCAATAACAATAATCAAATAATCGCAATAGAATAATAATAATAATAATAATAATAATAAACGGATGTATAGGAACGAAAACTTTGTATTTATATACATATAATAAACTGTTAGTAAACAATCATGAATATCGATATATTTGTACATATTTACAAAACTGTTGAACTATATAATCTATCAAAACTTCTTGAAATCCCTGTATAGCCTAAAAAGTATAATAATCATTCAAATGGAGTTTATTATCGTTTTAATTTCATAAAATGATTAATCCGGAATATGGAATATTATTTTTTTTATTGAAAGTAAAAAGAATATGGTAATCGAAGAACCGTATTTCTGATTAAATCTTGACTAAAAATGTAAAAATTGCAGCTTCGTAAATTTAAATGATTAGCAGCGTCTCCAAATATATGTGACAACGTGATACTTAAAAACGGAAATAGATTTATTACGGTCAATCTGCATTCAATGTTTTCCCAAACGAGTTTATATCAACCGAAAAACAACTTGCACATGACTGCAAAAACATGTATAGTTACTATATTATGTTAYTCTGATGTCATTTTTCTAAGATTTGTTATGTAAAGTACATTGGAAGTAGTATAAAATATAAATTTTAGTGAGGTTATTTTGCCGAATGAAAACCTGTTCCTAACGAATGGTCCAGCGTTTGTTATAGACCGGTTGTATAGAACGGTATATTGGCGTAAACAAAAATAGGCTTAATGCCATAATATAAATTATATATAATGTATGTATAATGTATATAAATACAGTTATAAACTTAAAACCATTTAGTTTCTTAATCCAAATGAGATAACTTGTTTATATACTATATGGTAAAGAATAATATTTCCGAATAATTTATAATATATATATATATATATACAATATTATTCACTATACAGTATACACATATATTTTTATTTTAAACTTTTTTAATTTTTCAGAAACTTCGAAACCAGTTGAAGATAAATATAGAAACGAATTCGATGAATATATGCGTCAACAAATTCAACAATGGCAAATTGCAGTTGTAAATGGTCAGCAAGTATCACCACCTCCAGGATCACAACCTTCCGGACAACCACCATCTAGTGTATGGATCCAGGTCCCAGCTAATGGATATTATCCTCCACCATCATACCCATACCCATCATATCCTCCTCAACAATACCCGCAACCGTCTTACCCGCCTCCCTCTTACCCACCACCGTCTTATCCACCACCTTCATATCCACCTCCATCTTACCCACCACCATCATATCCACCACCTGCATACCCTCAACCATCTCCATATCCTCAACCGTCTCCCTATCCTCAACCTTCACCATACCCACAACAACCATTGTATCCACCGCAACCAGCACCGAGTCCAATTTCAGAGGAGCCGGAATTATCTACTTCTGCACCATCACAAGGAAACCCATCACAGCCAGAAGCACCAGGAGTAGTAACTCCTCAACCAGAATACCCGTCCCCACCAGCACCAGAATATCCATCACCACCGGCACCAGAATATCCACCATCTACGTCAGAACCAGAATACCCACCATCTACGTCAGCACCAGAATACCCACCATCTACGCCAGCGCCAGAGCCGGGAACTCCACCACCAGGAGTTTCTGAACCTGAAATTCCAGAACTCACTCAAGCTCCGGAGTATATTACTTCCAAACCAGAAGCCTCTACAGATCTACCAGAAGTGATACCGACATATCCGGAAACACAACAACCTGAGCAGCCTGGAGTACCTTTATATCCTGGTCAACCAGAAGAAGTACCAACCACCGTACAACCAGAAACTTCATCTGAAGCTTCTACTGATCAACCAGCCTATCCAGAAAAACCTAGTTCTGAAACCCCTGGAGAAGAACCAGAAGTCACTACTAGTGCAGGATCCACATATTCCCCCGATCCTGATTCTCCATCACCGACCGGACCGCCGTCGACAGACGCATTAAAAGCTCAGTGTAAAGAACCAAGAGGACAATTCCCAAGTGAAAGTTCTTGCAACAAGTTCATAAACTGTTGGGACGAAACAGCAGTCGAACAAACATGTCCCGCGGGATTGGTATTTAACCCAGATAAACGATACTGTGACTATCCGGCAAATGTAGATTGCGGTTCTAAGCCTATTACAGGTAAAAAATATTGAAATAATTTAAAAAATAATATGCATTATACAACAGGATTCAAATAAGTCAAATTTACCTTTTATTTTCTTAGCGGTATCTGAAAACGGCAATAATACAAAATGTCCAGATGGTTATGGAACCTACCGCAGTAAGGAAAATTGCGGAGCTTTCTAYGTTTGTGTAGCTGGATCTCCAGTAGATTTCATTTGCCCCGGTGGAACAAACTACAATGAAGTACGCAATTGACAGAACAATTTATTTATCTATGTATTTGTCTATTTATTAAAATATTCTTTAGGATTTGAAAATATGTGACTATCCATACCGTGTGGACTGCAAGGGATTGCCTAGCAATCCTGAACCAATTGAAACGGCCACTGAAATCGAAGTCAACACCACGTATGCCCCCGAAATATCGTCAACCACTCCATATGTTCCACTGTCTTCAGCTGAGTCTTCGCCAGCCACTGAAGTTGTTCCGACATCGTCGACATCCACCGCTCTTGCCCCAGTCGCCGACCCAATAGCTATTTACAATTACAACTTAAGAAAAATACCACCAAGTACGCATATTTAGAATCATATTATTGCACTCACCATTAAACATGRTCAATAAAATTAACATTAACATTTTATTCCACAGGCATGGTGAATACCGGCGTGCGTTGTAGTCATAAGAGTATTTACCGACTTACACCAGACTGTTCTTCGGTAACCCTCTGCCGCAATGGATTTACTAACATACTCAACTGTGGACATGCTACCAGTTACGATATAGTCAGCCAAAAGTGTTTGCCAAGTCAAAGAGCAAATTGGTAAGTTATACATTTTTTTACATTGATTAAAATATATATATATATATATATATATAATTATATAATTACACCACGATCAGTTTATTTATTATCTACCTAAAAGGTACCTTAATAAAAAAAAA